CCCCTTTTTCCTCTTCCCAATGTTCCTCCTATATTCCTGATTTTAGTTACTTTTATTAACATTTAACCAGCCACCCAAGTCACAAACCAGGAATCATTCTAGGCCTTTTCCTCCCTTCTTACTACTACATTCAATTTATCCTGTTTATTTTCCCTTCTAAAACTAAAACAATTCTTCCCTACGGGACCAAGTATACTTTAGACAGGCTTAGTGAAAGCCTTTTCCTCTAGAGATTTATAACAGCCCCCTTCCAAAATCTATGCTTTGTAACATCCCCACACAAATCTGGACATTTCACAATTGTCACAAATTCAAAATTATCAGCATTTAAGTTTTTAAAAGCTTCCTTTTAAATAACTAAATCTTTTTAAGACTGGTCTCAATAAAAATTATCTAAAATACAGTTTCTCGCCTTAGTACAGTTTTAAAAGAACATGAAACTAAACTTAGTATTTTGTTGATAACTCACAGAAAAATCAACTCCCAATTAACTGGTGTAAGTTGAGGAGTAACACCGCAAATATCCCCAAATCAAAATTAATGCAAAAGTCAATTGTCGACTACCTAGGAGTGGGAAGATTAATTTTTGTGGTTGCTGTTTTTAAATAAACTTTTTATTTTAGAACCATATTAGATTTACAGAAAATTGTAGAGATAATACAGAGAGTTCCTCACCCCTACTGTTAACATTTTACATTAGTATGATACATTTGTTGTAATTAATAAACTGACCATGAGTGTAATTAATTAAAGTCCATTTAATGTACTTGTTCTGCTCCAGGATGCCACAGTACTGTCATGTCTCCTTAGGCTCCACTTGGCTGTGACAGTTTCTTAGACCTTCCTTGTTTTTGATGACTTTGACAGTTAAGGAGTACTAATCAGATATTTTGCAGAAATGTCCTTCAGAATTTATCTGATGTCTTTCGCATTATTACTCTGGGGTTATAAGTTTTGGGAAGGAAGGTCACAAATGTAAACTGTCATCTCATCACATCAAGGATGCATGTAATCAACATGACTTATCATTGTTGATGTTCACCTTGACAACCCAGCTGAGACAGTGTTTGTCAGTCTTCTCCACTGTAAAGTTACCCTTTCCCCCTCTTTCTATACTATATACACACACTCTCTCTCTCTCTCTCTCTCTCTCTCTCTCTCTCATTGGAAAGAAGTCACTATGTGCAGCCTACACTTAAGGAGTGGAAAGTTATGCTCAATTTCCTTCAGGATGGAGTTTCAACATAAATTAAGTTGGAATTATTCTACAACAGAGATTTGGGATATATTAATTTTAATAAAAGCCTATAACTCATCTTAATTAGAAAGCTACTAATTAATATTAATTCCTGACGTTTCTCCTACCTACCCCGCAAAAACCAAACAAAAAAAAAATAATAACCATTAAAGGCTTCAAGAAAAAAGCCAATCTTTGAGCCCAGCCTGAAAGATGAGCTAAGGAAAAGTTAAAAAGTTCCTAGTACCCACACCCTCACATTAAGGGCAGCTATGAGTGGCTTGTCTGTTTTGTCCATAGGGTAACAATCACAGGAATCCACACTAACCACGAAGATCAAGTTGCAGGCTGTTCTCTGCAGCTTCTTAGTTATTAAGAGGAGACTGGTGTTACGCTGCAGGCACTGAGGCCCATAGAACTGCCAGGATGAGAGTGGTACCGGTTCAATAAATCAATAATTTTATTAAGCCAATAGACTCTCAGCTGTGGAGCATAGTATATGAGATATTGAGATATTTTCCCTACTGCTCAACTCTTTATTTCTCAATCTGGTTGTTTCCCAAGAGGTTAAGGACATGGATGGTTTAAAGATAAGATCTTACTACCAGTTAAGCAGGCATTTGTGAACAGTGCCAAAGAAGCATTAAGTTCCAGAACAACTAATAGTGGAGCCTAGCATAATCCCTGGCACATGGTAATACTCAAACGTTTGCTGAATGATGAACAAATGAGTTCTAAGAAGCAGAGGGGACAAGCAGCTGTCTGCCGTGGTATGTGATAGTCAAATGGCTCTGGGTCCATTTTTAGGGCCTGCCATTCTTTGCAATCTATCTTCAGAAATAGGCAACATTTTTCCAAACAAACTTTAGTAGTTCAACTGTAAAGGCCTTACATATTAGTATTACTTAATATCAAAGACATTAGAATGGTACTATAGCACATATAAGGTGTTCAATAAATGCTTGCTAAGTTAATGAAGAATCCGACAAAAACAGTTAAAGCATGTTAGTCCAGAATCCACAAAGGAACTTATTAACAAAGTTGATCAATCCTAAGAAGAAATCGTGTTGGTCATGCTAAAAACAGGTAAGCATGTAACAATCTGAACACGTTTTTTGTTCAATACATACTCCTCTCTAAATGGATGCAGACAAGTCTAGGAGAATATAAACCAAAATGCTATCAATAGTAATCACTTTAATAAATGAGTATGGATGATTTTTGTTAAATAAATAGATGAAAGAACTACAGGGAATAAGGCATTACTTAAATGTGGGAGGGTTTTTTTTTTCCTTTTATTAATTGTAAAGAGAGGGGAAGGAAGGGAAGAAGAGAGGGAAACACTGATGGGTTACTCGACACACCCTGACCAGGGACCTCACCTGCAAACCCAGGCAAGTGCCCAACCAGAAAACAAACCAGCAACCTTTGATTTGCAGGATGGCACGCAACCAGCTCAGCCTCACCAGCCAGGGTTACTTACATGTTTTTTTTTAATTGTTTTTGCTGTGTTTTTTTCCCTCACAAACTCTTTTTTGACAGATACTATAATTAAAAGGTTCATTAATTTAGCTTAAATTTATTAACTAGGAAGTTATTAGTATAGTAGAATTTAGTTTAAAATGAGAGATAGATACGCAATGACAATACAGACTGCAGAAAAGTTGTAAGGTGAGTAACCTGATCATTCTTAAATAAAAGACAACTAAAATTATCTCATAAAAGACCAGTGAATCCTATTTCTCCTTCTTTGCTATAAAGCAGGGAACTTTGTTTTACTTATCTTTATATCCATTTTGTATACCTAATATAAGTAGCTCAAAGTTTTGTTGAATGGAATGAATAACCAGTCAAATAAACCATCATCTTTCTGAAAACACTGAGGGAAGAATTATAACAACATTGTATTTTTGGTGTATGCTCCAGTCCCAAAGAGTGGAGACTATTGATTACCACTGATTTCATTATAATAAACCACAGCAGCAGCAAGGCATAGTGGTGAGGAGCTTGGAAGTCTGCAGCCAAACCACCTGGGTTCAAATTCTGGCACTAGCAAATGAATGGCTGGTGACCTGAGTAGATAACTTAACTTCTATGCCTCAGCTTCCTCATCTATAAAATGCTACAAGAATCACAAGTACTATCTCATAGGGTTGTTGTGAAAATTAAAAAGGACTTAGAGGAGTACCTTTTAATACATTAAAAGAGTACCACTTAATACATTATGTAAGTGTTTGCCAGGGGAAAAAAAGGAGGGGAGGGGGAGCTCTGATTGGTGTGGCTCAGTAGATTGGGCATTGTACCACAACCTGAAAAGTTGCTGGTTGGAATCCCAGTCAGGACATGTGCCTGGGTTGTGAGCCAGGTCCCACACTGGGAGTGTGCAACAGGCAATCTCTCTCTCTCATTGATGTTTTTTTCCCCTCATATGGGGTAATTTAGAAACATGAAAATTAACCTATTTTACACTCTGAGACGTGTCATCTTCTCACAATATGTGCAAAATTATTTCAATATGTAGGAGAGCTGACTCTGTAAAATTACCAAATACCTACAGAAGCTTTATGTCACTGTTTTAAAAGAGCCATCCAAAATAGTTAAACTGATATGGTATTAAATGTTAAAGACAAAAACAGTGTGAAGGACAAACCACCCTTGTAAGAGCTTAGAATATTGATAATGGTTTTTCTTGATTCTTAACTGAATCAATACTTAAGAAAATATATTTGAATTAAGAATAAAGTATAGTTGGTTCCTCTTCGACATTTTTAGGTTCATAAGATCTTAAATTTTATCTCCACAGGTTTGTTGTATTTGATGTTATAATATATTTTCTCCTTGGTTAAAATAAACTTTAATGTTATTAAATAAAATAAAATTTAATGCTATTAAAATTTAGAGCAAAAGCATTTTTCCTTTGAGACATACACTATGTGCCAAAGTTTTAGTTGGGTTAATAACTATTTTAGTCTGTGATAAAATGTGAAGTGATCATGCCTAAATGCTATTTCAAAAAATTAAAGAGAAATGGCAATGTAGAAGGGAGAAAAATAGGACTTCACATTTGAAAATGAAATAGAATTTAATTAATAATAAAGTGCATGTTAACAGTTATATATGTATATATTAGTTTCAATATAGGAGTAAACAATTACTCAAAAGCACTCCTGGCACTGTTTTTCACATAAGCACTACAAAAAAATTAACTAAAATTGACACTGAACTAAGTTTTAAGCAGCATTTCAAAAATTTCATTTACACACTACTCCCTTTTTCCTTAATGATCGATCTCTACCTTCAATATACAGGTTCTATTTACCATTTCTACATATTTTCCATTCAAATATTATTCATTAAATTTAAAAAGCATGTATAGCAACAACCAGCTCTAAAGATAGTATTAAAAAATCCCTTCACGCCTGTAGCTATATAAAATATCATTATCCATAATATCTTTAACCAACAAAAAATAAGGTTATGAAATATAATTTGACAGCAGAGATATTCTACTCATTCCATATCTGTCTAAAGACTGTCTTGCTACTAGCCAGAGTAATATTTTTCCTCTTTCCTATTTTCTCTGCAGTGCTTCTAAGTATAGTGACAGCCGCATCAGGCTTTCCTAGTCTCAGCGCAAGCTCAGTGAAAATCTGAGAAATGTAAGTGGAAAAATGAGAGACCGCTTTATTTGGCAGTGCTTTAAAGAAAAAAAAGAAGAAAAAAAAAACCCCGGACAAATGGCAAGGCAGTATTTGGACCACAGGCTGAACAATCAATAGGCAGAAAGCAAGATAGAGGCTTCCTCAGCTTTTGGATCGACAATCGACAGCTGAGAGACTATTTTTTGCTATGGTTGACTAAATATGGTCAGGGAAGAGACAGGCACAAGAGAGCCTGTTTGCCTGGGAGTGCATGTTTCAAATGCTTAGCTGCCTATAAAGCTGTAACAGTTTAGCCTGTGACCACTGAGGGAAGATTTAAGTTAACCTCTGTAGTGACCATGTGGAAATCCTGACCTTGCTTGCAGACTTGACCTCTGGATATGACAAGGTAGCTTCAATACAGATTTACCATTTAATCCTGGAAACTAAAAACCAAAAAAAAATTTCACAGCAAGAAAGATGCAGCAGAATTATTTCCTGAGAAGTCGGAAGAATCCAATTTATTCTGGTGGGCAAAGGAAAATAGTGTGAATGTTTATAGTTACTTGGGAGGAGTAAGGTGTGTGTTATTTCTTTGGCTTTTTGGCTTTTTGAAATTATAAATTAACTTGCTCTGCAACTTTTCCCCCTCTTCCGAAGCATTTCATCTGAGAAATAAGCGAGGTAGCAATCTTCCTTGTTTGCTTAACTTTCTGTACAGCAGACACAAGGTACGCGTATCTGTGCAATACTGGTAATATAACATTCCAAATCAAATAGCCAATGTTGATTCAATTTTACTGTGTTTTTTTTTTTTTCTTTGTAAGGGTAAGGGAAGGGAGAGGTAAAAGCTGGCTGATTTATTTTTGTTCATTTGTTTTTCAAATTTATCTTAAAAGGAGAGACTCTGTTCACTGACTTCCCCCTTACTTCACCTCACCGGCTCATGAAAAGAAGTGCTGAATCAGCAGATAGAGTGAAGGAACAATCAAGATGAGATGGCTGCTGCTGATGTGACTCTCTAGGTCCTTATCTCTCTTCCTGCTGCAAATGCTGCATGACACTAAGTTTACAGGTAACAGAGCACCACAAGGCCTGTACTCTTAAGGATACTTATGACTTTCTGAATGTTTATCTATTATTGACTCAATATGTGTTTTTACTGTTAAGTTAAATTCTATCTGGGCATTGTCTAATTTCACATCTGAATGCTTACTTATTATTGACTCAATATATGTTTTTACCGTTAAGTTAAATTCTATCTGGGCAGAGGCTAATTTCACAGTTCAAGTATAGAGCTTATGTAGTGTAAAAGGGAATGTCGTTCGACTATCATGGCAAATAACTCTCGATCTCAAAAATGTACAAATTCATTAATGTCATTTACATCATTAAAGATTTAGTCTTTATTGTTTCAGATTACATGATTTTTCATCCCTAGTAAATTGCACCTTGCTTCCAAACAAAGTACGCTATCTTTTAAAAACTATTAACTATTTCAAAACTTGGTAGAACACAAAATACTTTTTAATACTTACTCTGAGTTGGCCACAGACATAAATCAGAACGTGCCTGGTGAAATTCTAATGCTGCAATGCTGACACTGCTGTAGTACTGGGCTCTCTCCTGCTACAATCTAATTTGCTTTCTATGAGCTACACTAGCTATTTATCACAGGCTGCAGAAATTCTTTCTCTGCCTTTTTTTCTCCTTTCCCACATTTGAAAATTTCTAACAGCTTCCTTTTAAATTAACTGTTTGTTACCACAATAATTAAAAGCAACTCACCAACTATTATTTCTTTTAATGCTAAATGATCAAGCTACAACCTGGTGCTAATAGCTTTCAGGTCTTTTAAGACTTTGGAAAAGTTAACTCTTCTGGTTGTTATCCTTTATATTAAAAAAAAAAAAATCAAATAAGCTCAACTCACCAAAATTCAGTATTTATATACATCTGTTTAAATTTGTGTTTAACCCAAATAGAAATACCAAAATGTAAAATTCAGATTAGTAACTAATGAAGACAAAAGGATGACAAAGAGGTTTTCAAATGAGGAGTTCTTAGCTGTAACCTTTACAAAAACCTAACAAAAAATTCATCATTTTTAAAAATTCAGTTTGCTCATACTCTGAAAAGATCTGGTTTTTCTCCTTGTCATTTCAACTTCAGGGACAACATCAGAAGAAGTCCTAGTTGATTAATAGCTTAAGTTTTTAATAAGATAGTCTGTAAAAAGAATCTGTACCAAATTAATTACTATCTACTTGTAGGATCTAGAAGCAAACTACAAAATAAGAAGAAATTCATCCTGAAAACTGAAGAAAAACTAGTAATTGATCTTACCAATTTCTGAAATAACATTCTGTAAAACTCCACTGATTCTATGAATCTCTTGCAAAAAGGACCAAATCGGGACAAAGTTCAACAGAAAATTGGTCAATGTTTAGAAGTGTATATCCACCAACAAGGAACAAAAAATGGCACTAATGCAATGCTTCAGGTAAATTTTTTAAAGTTTAGTCTTTGATAGTCTCTGCAAATGATCTACCATTGCTCTCATCAGTAAGCTGAATGTTTTACTAACAAATGTGAAAATAAAACGTTTCATGTTTTTACAGCTAACAACTTAGTAATACCTACTCAGAGTACATACTTCTTTATGTACCCATATGAACATACAATGCTATGGAATGTAAAGAAGTATGTATTTTTGGTAGGCAATAAACCACCAAGACAGAAATAAGTGGCAGCTAAAAGAAGCCCTTGCTTCTTTTTATGTGAATGACCTTCATATGGTATATTAACCTAGAATCAAAGAGATGACCTTTGGAAATAATAACATCATAAAAATGTACCTACTTCTTACAGATGAAAACTAAATGTCACTAAGATTTATATTTTGTGAAGGAAAAAAGCTCTACTGACGTATATTTAAAATTATCATAAAACTCCTTTTAAATCTTCTACATTTAAAACATAAGATATTTTACATTTTTAAATTGAGTATTCACATGATTAAAATTTGAATTCCAAAAAACCGCTAGTGTTACTAGCACAACAGAATGAGATACATATGACCTCTTTTCTGTTTCTACACTTTGATCTTAATTTAAGTATATCGCAGTAAGGTTGACTGATTTGTTAAGAAAAACAAGATGCAACAAAAGCTGATTTCATTTACATTTTAACAGCTATTCTTTATATTTTGATAAATTTATAATTTAATAATATTAGAGGAATTCCTGAAGCAAGGTTGCTGTTTTAGGTTTTCTTTTATGGAAGCTACAGATATAGTCATAATTTTAAAAGACTGTATTTTAAGTAAAATTCTACTCTCAAAAGGAAAAATGTGGTCCTTGTCTTTCTCAAGCTTATCAAGTCCTTATGCTGAGTTAATACTTTGAGTAAGTTAAAAATGTTAAGATTTATGCAAGAAAAATGACAAAATTCTGGGCCACAGCTCTAAGTCAACAGGGCACATTGGTAACAGATTGCCAAATACTTAAAAGAAATTAATTTATTATCTATGTTAACTTTGAATTTGTTTTATCCAAAGGGGGCACACACAATGAAAACACTATAATCAAGAAAACAATTTACACAGAAAGAACAACCTTCTTTTAATGGTACTATGCAATTACAACTCACTTTTTATAATCATGATGGACCCATTTTATTTACTATATGTTAGATATCAAAATACATATGTATTTTATACAAAATTTATTTTGTATTATATTTATATATTAATGAAAGTTAAGCTCTTAACAAATTATAAGCAGTATCTATTTTAGCTATTATGATAGACATATAAAAAGAAATACTAATACTAATATTCTAATCATTTCTTACTAAAAAGTATTCTTTCAACTGGAATATTTAGACATGTATAAAAAGCATAATAATATTTTAAAATTTCTGTATCTCACAAGTGAAATAGAAATGGCTATAAAGTTAATTTTATATATTTAATTTTCTGTTTAATAAGATAACTAGATAGTTAATTCTCAAAAGGTGGTTTTCATTTTATCAGATTATAAAATCAGGGATGACTATGAGATATAAGAGCACATAAGTTATTGCATGTTTATCAGAAATTGTAAAAACTTAATTTTAAAATTATATATTTCAAAGAAAAAAGTAGTTCAAAGTTTAACACTTATGCATAGCTCTTCTTTCTGATCATCCACAAACAGAATGGCAATGTGTCATACTCCATTTAACTACACATGCCCTAAATACCAAAAACTGAAAATATATGCCTGAAAAGTAGAGGTTCCTCTATAAAACTATTCAAAGGGTATTACTATACCCATGTTTTATAATAAAAAATTATATTCATTATACTATAGGCATAAAAAGTTTTTGATTTAAAACATCCCACTGACTAAGAACCTTGTGGTTATAAGAGTATATATAATCCTTAGAAAATAAAATGATAGCATATTATTCCTTTTAAAAAGTAAAATTATATACTGATTCTAGTGCTTACACGTTTAACTTAACATATCTAAGAGTATTTTCAATCACTCTAAAATGTCACATTCATCACTTAGGTCAGCTGTTCATTTTTAACTTAGTACATATTAAACTCTGGGCATCTGCTGACACTGGCGTAACTCAAACATTTCAACTGTCTCTCTGACAGGGATAACAGATGCTGACATTATCAAATGCTGTACTATTTTTTTTTCATGGCCTCTCCTTGCCCCGATATGGCCAGTATATGAAACTGAACTGCCATCCAAAAGCACACTTGAGCAACTGGATCTGCTAAACAGCTCCCATATAACTAGTAAAAATAGAAGCCAGTTTTGCTGCTATCTTCAGCACTTAGGTCCAGGCAATTTAACACCTGTTTCATTTCCATTCTAATAAAAGATGGAGAAACTGTAGCTCCAATTAATTTCACCACCAGCATGATACTTACTAACCAACAGATGCAGAATAAACTTAATATGAGAATTATTTGAATACTGCCTGAATTAGTGCTGACCTTCTCTCAGTTTAGTTCAAAATAGTAACTATTTCTTTACTCTTTATATTTCACTGAAAGCACTTACTTTTACAGGCAAACTGCAATTTCTCAAATTTTTATTTTAAGCAATATATTTCAGAAGATTTCCCTCCATGACATTGAAATGTAACACTGAAATCATATAATAACAAAAATTTGCCATACTGAGTGTTAATGGTAGGTTTTACTACCATTAACATAGCCATGGACTATAGCTATCAATGTATTATTAAACTGATAATGAGGAATAACTAGGCAGGCAATCTGTACAGAGAATTCAGTCAAGGAAACAGGCCCTTAAAAAGGTTAAATTACTAACCTATGATTAGTAACACTACATAAGTAAAAACAAAGAAAAATAAGCTGGCATGCATGATAGTTCCTTTCAATACAAGTCCAAGCAATACACTGAATACACATGCAATCTATTTATAAACCACAGGGTAGAGGTACTTTCTTAAGGCCACTCATATTCCTCCACCCCCTGTCATCAACTTCTTATTAGTCTACAAGTACTCCTAAAAAAAGCAGTGGCAGTAGAAAGGTATGACTAGCAATACTCATTTCTTAACCTGTTAGGTTACTTACTTGGTTTACAGCCTAGAGATAAACATAAAAAATTACTCTGAAATACATCAAGATCTATTTGTTCCTTTAAATGTTGTGGGTTTTGAAACAGGTTATTGTCTACATTTAAGAATTAAGTAAATGTGCTAAAAACAAAGATGACATTGATAATTCCTTAATGCATTAACAACATGTTAAAGGGTAAAGACTTCTGCACATTTAGAGCAGGAAACAGTACCAAAAGTGCTTTCAGAATAGAAAATTTTACATTCAATGACTGAAGTACTGATATGAGAATCTAAGATTTGTGGAAGATCCATAACCATAATTTTATGAATAAAAAGCATTTAACTGTTTTGGAACCCAAATTAGCACCACTGCAATGCTTTGCTAGAGCTGGTAAAATGGAACCAAATCGCCTCTTCAATGGATTTGGTCCCCTTCAACCAGCTGTAGCTATGCATTGATTACTACAAGACAGCCAGTGTTTTCATTTATGAGTATCAGACATGTCAACTAATTTCAACTCATTTAAGTTATTCAGATTTTGCTTTAAATTTTAAATAATTGTTACTGTTAATTCTTCTTGTAAGACTTTTAGTGGTTAACAATGTTTATAAAAAGCTTTATGAAAAATGTGTGAATGACAAGGATTACAAATAAAATAATTTTACTTATTTACGGTCTGTTGGTATTAAATTTCTTAACCTTTGAAAAAGAAATAGTAGTGAAATGTAAACTATGCTGAATAATAATAATAATAATAATAAAAAATTCCTTCAGAGGAAAAAAATACCTGGGAAAATCACCTAAAAGCAACGTGAAACCATAATAAGAATGCCATACTATGGTTCACATGATGTATGGTTAAATTAAGGAAAAACATAACATTAAATGAAATAACACTAGAAACGCTGGATCACTATCTTCCTCAGAATTAGCATTTAATTTTACCACTATTTACTTAAATATTGATATGTAAGGTAAAAAAGATGACGATATTGCAGAATATCTTGTGAAGAAGACAAACAGTATCTAATTCTTCCAACCCTGAACCAAAAGTTCTTAATCCTCAAAAAAGAAAAGAAGCCAAGCACTGCTTCCTTTTACTCATGTAGATAGTCACCCTTCCATACTTATTTCCTCAGTTATAAAATGAAGAACTCTTCTATTAAGAACATTCTATGACTCTCCTCACTCTTTCTGTCTTCTTTGTCCTTCACAAAAAAATACATACAACAAGCCTCTTTCAATGGAAAGAAAATGAAGAAGAAAATGACAAGTGATCCAATATCACTCCAATTTTTTTACTGACTCAATAAAACTACAGATAATGTAATGTTCTTTAATAAATAAAGGCAAACATATCAGCAATAAATGAAGGGTTACTGAGATGGCAAGTAGTAGTTTAAAACTACACGTTCACACAATCCTCAACTCCAGATCACTCCTCTATTTCAAAGTGAGGAACATCCCCTAAAAGAATGTGGGCAAAGAAAGGTATATGCATCAATAAATAAATCTTATCACTTCATTCAAGTTAATAATAGATCTTCTTGCTTATATTAATTACACCGGTCAGTTACATTAGACATATTTACGTATTACCAGGAACATGTGTTTGAGAGTAGAGGCATGGACACATAGGAGAGAAAACAGACATACTATCATTTGATAGTCTCCCAGATGCTTTTTATATATAGCACTCAGCATGTTTAGAGTTTATAAGAAAACCATGACACACCCAAGATATGGTCCAGATCATCAAATCTTTCTATATTCAACAATCTGATTTACAGCCTCAGAATTTTAAAAGTTAAATAAATGTATCATAATATTCTACAGGGAAACTGTGAGTTGTTCACATATGCAGTAAGATTTAGTACATGTCTTTGTGGGAACAAATAGGTAAGTAAATAAGAAATGCCTGTGATGTTATCTTAGCGCTAATCTGAAATTATATCACATCATGTGGTTCACTCATATTTTACTCTTACTTTTCACATTCAGTTTATATTAGAGAAAACTTTATAAATAACTCTACATAAAGTAAATTTATAATACTGTTATCAGTGCCTCCAAAAGACCTATCAGTTGGTTTTTGAAAGCTCTGCAGAGAATACTGCTAATTTATTTTCATGTCTCTGAGTGAACTCTAAAAATGCAACATCCTTACAGAAAGTACCTAAGTAATGTGCTGATTAATTCCACTAATCCAAAGAAATTTAGTTTTCACTTTTAACAACAGGAATGCTTTCTGCTCTTCATTTAATCTGAAATTTTACTCGTATATTTAAAAAAAAAGATAGTAAGGCTAAACTCTAGAGGAAACAATTCTATAACATCAAATATTGGAATACATAAACAGCATTGTCCTTAGTGTAAGACTGCTTAAAATAAAATTTAAAACAGCATATTGTAACTGCATTGTAAAATGCTCCAAACTTTACAAAGCATGACCAAAATAATGCTTCGTCACAAGAACATGTTATTTTCCACCATTCTGGAAGAATGTTTTATAACTCTTTTTCTCTTTAATGTCTTTATTTCAGTTACTGTCATATTATGAGGAAACACCAAATCAGCTTTGGAATCTGGAATCTCTATTGACTGTACCTTTGAAATCTAGATTTCAAAGTACATACTTCAAAAACATCAGGCACTTAGACATATTTTTGATGACCAGGAAAATACATTTTCTTTTAGAAAAACACATCCATTAATTAAGTCTACTGTGTTACTGCTGACAAATTATTATTAACTAAAAGCAAAACTAGGGAATAGAAGGCTACTTAAATTTCACATGTATACAAATGCACATACAATTCTTGGAAACTTTTCCACATTACTAATCATAATAAATTAAAACAATTGTAAGTAAACATTTGTGCTGGTATTAAATTATACTCAAAATGATGTAAATAACTTACTGTAGAAAAAATACACACATTCTAACAAAAGAAAAAATTCAAAAATAGCTAAGAATTAGACTAACTGAAGTGCAATCAAATGTAATTAAAACTGACTATACATGAAGTCTAATAGGTAGGCCATGTATACTAAAGAAGTATAACTGCAACTTAAACAAAAATTACAAATAACAAATTAAAATGTTATGATTCAAGGTAACACATTCATTAAGCTATATAAATCATAAAATGCTTATAAGAAAGAGAAAAATTTTAACATATTTGTTAATCATATTTAGTATTTTATTAAAAAAATGCTAAGTAAGCCATGAGGTTCTGGAAATAACAACATACCATAACAGGTTTTCCCAAATAAGTATTAGGGCCAAAGATTTTTTTTTTTAATTCTGAATATACCAAAAATGGTTCCTTCTGTTTTATGACATCACTGGCCAATACAAGGAAAGAAAAATGAATTTTAAGAAAAAACTTAATATGAAAAAACAACTCAAAACACCCCAACTTGCAGTTACAACTGATATATAAGTTGTGTCATTTTCTAATAATTTTCAGTGGCTAATTAAAATCACACTCTTTATCTGGCAACCTAGAGTCACAACTACATAAAATGCCATAAGCAAACAGGAATAATGCAGACGTGTTCACTGAAGCACCACTTTGTTGTAAAGTGAAAGTGATTTTTTTTTCTTTTTTAAAAATGTCACCTGACAACAATTATCTGTCTGGAAGTGTCATTGTTATAAATGTTTAGGAGAATTTTCAATAACTGAAGAAACAGAAGTAGTATATTTTCTCCTCTATATATAGGCTTAGCATTATTAAATATATTATGCCTACTTCCAATAAAGTGAAAACAATTCAAAATATTTAAAAGTTACTCATTTCCTAAACTCTTAAATTTTATCTTAAAAATCTTTAATATTTAATCTAAATTTCCTCAATAAAGTATTTTTGCCCAGTCTAATCTGAATTGTTGTTTAATCTGTTTCTCTACAGAATTTTTTTCTTTTTTTTATTGTTCAAACACATTTGTCTCTATTTTTCCACCACCACTTCCCCCTCCCCCACCCCTCATTCTCCACAGAATTTATTATGTATCTAACCACATATACTTTAGTGATATGTAACACTGTCCTGACTGTCAAATTAACATTTACTGAGTCCCTACTATAGCCAAGGCATTGTGGGGAACATACAGATGACTGAGTGCCCACAACCTGAACAGAAAGGAACATAAAAGTGCACATACTAAGGTACAGCACAAAGCAGATTATAAGTGCAGTAAAATAAGAGCACAGAGCAAGGAAGTATAGGGCAAACAGAAAGTAATTTCAATAATGAGATCAAGGAATACTGGAAGAAAGATGGTTAAGATGAAAAAGGGATTAAGGGTATCCTCACAAAAAAAAAAATGCTTAAGTATGAAGGAAGAAAGCAGACAATCTTAGGAGAGTAGTGTAATGTAGCTAATGGTCAAGGTGGGCACAGGACTTTTTTTTAGTGAGAGATAGTTAGAAAGATCTCAGGTCACACTGGAAATGGGTTTCAGTGCCAAGTCAAGGTATACAGATTTTATTCTATGTGCAAGAGAAAGCAACCAAGGATTTGGAAACAGAGGGGCGCTATTAGGTCTACATTTTTAGAATGGTAACTTAGTAGTTGTATGAAAGTTAGGTCAGAGATAAAACTGAAATCAGGGAGAAAAATTAGAAAGATACTGTAATAGTCTAAGTAAAAAGTGAGCAGTACTTAATTAGGTCAACAGCAATGGAAATAGAAGGAATGGAATGGACCGGAAAAACCTGTAGAATACATAAAACTTCAGAACTAATTGGAAGTTCGGAATTAGTGAGAGAGTCGTCAGAGTAACCCTAATCAAAGAGGCAGCAATGAGACTCAATATATTAAGACATTCTCAGTTAAATGATTCACTGTCCATGTTTCAGTCCTGCCTCACATATAGCCCATAATAAAGAAAAACATAATATAAAGTGGTGAAGAGCTATGAGTCCAAAGTCAGATAGACCTTATTCAAGTTCTAGCTGCTCCACTAGTCAGTGCCTGATCTTGAATAAATAAATTCATGTCTTTAAAGCCTTATATCTATCCTCTATAAAATGAGGATATTAACACCTGCCTCAAAAGGCTGTTCAAAGAATTAAAATGAGCCCTGGCGGGTGTGGCTCACTGGATTGAGCGCCAGCCCATGAACCAAAAGGTCACCAGTTCAATTCCCAGTCAGGGCACATGCCCAGGTTGCGGGCCAGGTTCCCAGGTAGGGAGTGCAAGAGCCAACTGATTGATGTATATCTCGCACATCCTATACTTCTCTCTCTCTCTCTTCCTCCCGCCCTTCCCCTTTCTCTCTAAAAATATATAAATAAAAGTCTTTTAAAGAATTATAATGAGACAATACATATAACCACTTAGTAAAGGACTGGCATTTGATGATATCATCATTGCTGTCTTCCATCTGAGAGGCAGAGAACACATAATACTATTTTGTCTCCATCAGAATGCTAAAAGACAAAGTGTTTGAATATTTGTAATTTGAAAAAAAATAAATCAAAACATAATCTAAAACAGTCATTTATTTCATCCTACATTATATACCCCTTGTTATGGGTACTGACAAGCAGTACCAATAAAATCCTTTTGTTCTCTATGCTAACCCTCTAGAGTTGATCCTAAAAAAGCTATAAAAACAAAATGATTTAAAATACTAAAATAAGCCAAAATTATTTTCTTATCAGTATCAGAAAAAGAGAACCAGCAACAGAAAAATATTTTTAAATTGCATATAAAGCCCTGGTGTGGCTCAGTGGACTGAGTGACAGCCTGCAAACCAAAGGGTCACCGGTTCGATTCCCAGTCTAGGACACATGCCTGGGTTGAGGGCCAGGCCCCAAGAAGGGAGCACACAAGAGGCAACCACACATTGATGTTTCTCTCCCTCTCTTTCTCCTTCCCTTTCGCACTCTCTAAAAATAAATAATTAAAATCTTTAAAAAAAACAATTTAGGTGGCAGAAAAATATAAATCGTAAAAAAAAATTACATATAAAACGGTGAAAAGTGGCATCTTTACCTGGGATTTCCTCTTAGTGCAGCATGGTGTAGAGCATTAAATCCATTATTGTTTGTAATGGTAACATCTGCTCCAGCTTCCAGAAGAACTGCCAGGATATCATCACGTTTCTTACTTATTGCATCATGAAGTGGTGTATCACCTTCAGAATCCTTTTTTTTTTTAAGTTTAAAAAGATTTTCATTAGTTCTTTTTCAATCAGTTATCACATGTAATTATTAATACTTATAAATGAATTATTAAACGAAGGAACAAAAACAGAGGCCACATCCAACAACCATCAGTAAGACATACCTTTGTGTTAAATTTAAGAACTGTAGCAAGAAATAGCATTATGGTAAATAAACTTATACTCAGTCTAGATGTTAAAGATAATAAACATGCTGTAGCTTTCCAAAGAAAAGGGAAAATAAAATCAAAGAAATTAAATACCCTCAAAATAATTGAGTAACAAAAATAAATGAGGTGGAAAAGTGGCTCAAAAAATTCATTAGTTTAAAATGGCCTGCCATATCATATTCCTACCATTAATTGTTGTACTCTGAAACTCCATACCAAACCAACAGCAGTTTCCAAAACCCATAGCAATGAATTTTTAAAAGTCAGTGGTTCTCAGCTCTGGCTGAACTTTAGAATCTGCTGGGAAGCTCTTAAAATCCTGACACCCAAGCTGTTCTTCACACCAACTAACCCAGAACCTCTGGGGGTGGGACCCAGGCATCAGTAGGTTTTAAGAGCCCCCCAGCTGAATATACTGTGGAGTCACAGCTGAAATCATTACTCTAAACATTTTCAATGGGCAGGAAAGAGACTAGTTAACTCAAAGTGAAAACAAATGTAAAAGAATATTTGGCAGTCTCAGTCTACCGTTTCTTCAAGCTGATTACTTTCTTCATTAATCAACTGATTTAGCAGTAAGTTGTTATTCATTATCAGTCATCTCCGTAAATGGGTAATTTAGACTTCATTTATTTCACAGTTTCATAAATACTATTTTCAGTAAAGCCACATATAGCCCAACCTATGGCATATATCATGCTTGCCAAATCCAGCCTTCCCCCTATTTTTGTAAACAGTTTTATTCACACAGCCACACACATTCATTTATGTATCATCTATGTCTACTTTCACACTACTGTGGTAGCATGGGATAATTATAACAGAAATCATATGAAACCCAAAAATATTACCTGGCCTTTCACAGAAATTTTGCCAATCCCAGGCATAATCCACCCACATAAGAAATTCCTAGAATAAATTCAGTCCAACATTCCACCTTCTATCTTCCTAGGGCTCTAAAAAGTCATAGCCTCCAATTTGAGATGGGCTCTTAAATCTGGTTGGAATAAACTTCTACAAGCTGTCATCTGTTCTGCCTTTTCATCCCCACAATAGCTATCCCAAATCTTCATCCATACTCTTCTCAATTGCCCTTTTTATACTGACCACTCTCCACTCTCCACTCTCATCAAATAATTTTCCCTCCCATTTAAGACAATAAAAGTCAACAGGTACAAATTCACATTCCGACTTTCTGCCAAGATGGAGGCTTAGGTAGATACACTTTGCCTCCTCGCACAACCAAAAGAAAGACAACAACGAATTTAAAAACAAAAAATAACCAGAACTTCCAGAAAATCGAACTGTATGGAAGTCCAACAGCCAAGGAGTTAAGACGAAACATTCATCCAGATAGGTAGGAGGGGAAGAGATGGGTAGAAGGGGTAAAGATGGGCAGCTGGGGCAGAAAGCATGGGCGGCAGGGCTGCACCTAAAGGACTGGGCAGGTAAGGCAGCAGCTGACAGAGGGGCACTCCCACATTTGCATGCAAATAAACCAGGAGGAACAGCTGGGGAGCGAGACAGACTGTACAACCCAGGGTTCCAGTGCAGGAAAAGCAAGCCTCAAAAACTCTGGCTCTGAACACTTGTGGGGGTTGCAGCAGTGGGAGAAACTCCCAGCCTCTCAGGGGAGTTCACTGGAGAGATCAACAGGGTCTCAGAACATATACAAACCCACTCACCCGGGAATCAGCACCAGAAGGGCCCAATTTGCCTGTGGGTAGCAGGGGAAGTGACTGAAAGCCAGCAAGCGAAGGGCATTGTTCCTTTTCCGACCCCTCCCCCACATACAGTATCACAACACAGCAACCTGGGTTGCCCCACCCTGGTGAATATCTAAGGCTCTGCCTCATCCAACATAATAGCACGCTGAGACAAAGAACTATGGCCCAAATGAAAGAACAGACCAAAGCTCCAAAAATAGAACTAAGCCAAGAGATAGCCAACCCATCAGATGCACAGTTCAAAACACTGGTAATCAAGATGCTCACAGAAATGTTTGAGTATGGCCACAAAATGGAAGAAAAAGTGAAGGCTATGCAAAATGAAATTAAAGTATACAGGGAACCAACAGTGAAGGGAAGGAAACCGGGACTCAAATCAACGACTGGGAGCAGAAGGAAGAGACAAACATTCAACTGGAACAAAATGAAGAAACAAGAATTCAATAAAATGAGGAGAGGCTTAGGAACCTCTAGGGCAACTTTAAACATTCCAACATCTGAATCACAGGAGTGCCAGAAGAAGAAGAGGAAGAGCAAGAAATTGAAAACTTATTTGAAAAAAACTATGAAGGAGAACTTCCCCAATATGGCCAAGGAAATAGACTTCCAGGAAGTCCAGGGAGCTCAGAGAGTCCCAAAGAAGTTGGACCCAAGGAAGCACATACCAAGGCATATCATAATTACATTACCCAAGAGTAAAGATAAGGAGAGAATCTTAAAAGCAGCAAGAGAAAAGAGACAGTTACCCACAATGGAGTGCCCATAAGACTATCATCTGACTTTTCAAAAGAAACCTTGCAGGCAAGAAGGGGCTGGCAAGAAGTATTTAAAGTCATGAAAGGCAAGGACCTATATCCAAGATTACTCTATCCAGCAAAGATATCATTTAGAATGGAAGGGCAGATAAAGTGCTTCCCAGATAAGGTCAAGTTAAAGGAGTTAATCATCACCAAGCCCTTATTATATGAAATGTTAAAGGGATGTTATCTAAAATATTATCTAAGAAAAAGAAGAAGATCAAAAACTATGAACAGTAGAATGACAACAAACTCACAACTATCCACAACTGAACCTAAAACAAAAACAAACAAAAACAAACAAAAACAAACTAAGCAAACAATTAGAACAGGAACAAAATCACAGAAATGGAGATCAGAGGGGAGATGGAGAGGGAAGAATGGGGGAAAAGGTACAGGGAATAAGCATAAATAGTAGCTACAATATAGACGGGGGGAAATTAAGAATAGTATAGGAAATGGAAAAGCCAAAGAACTTATATGTACTACCCATAGACATGAACTAAGGGGGTGGGCAGAATGCTGGGTGGGAAAGGGGTGCAGAGTGGAAGGGAATAAAGGGGGGTAAAAATGGGACAACTGTAATAGCATAATCAATAAAATATATATTTAAAAAAAAATAGCATAGGAAAGGAAGGAGCCAAAGAACTTACACGTGCGACCCAAGGACAGGAACTGAGTGGGGGTGGGGGTTCGGGGAAAAAATAAATAAATAAATTCACATTCCTTCAACAGATTGTCACCTCCCTATGCCCCACCTTTCCTCTAATCCTGCCATCCATTTAGAAGCTGTCAGTTCTAAAATGGCTGTATCTTGGAAATATTAGTCTGTGATAACCATCTATCTGAACCAGAGTTCTCTGATTCTTTCAATTCTTCTCAAACCCACAGTCCAATTACTCCTGTTCTTCACTGGTGCTCTAAAACCAATCCAGTTTAATTCATCTGGTTGCTAAAATTTTGGATGGGAATAATCATTTCTTAGGTGACCCTTGCTTCAAAAATTAGGTTCTACTATAATAAATAAACCCTAAAACAGTATACATTTTCCAAAACAGAAAATCTTCTAAGACTAATGACTTCTAATGACCAAAACACTTAAATAAGGCTACAACTAAAATAATTTAGATAGCTATGAAGCAACTGTTATGAAATGAAGCCTATTACACTTCTTTAAGCTGCTGAAGCCCAATGTCATAATCAACAAGTTAAATCCAATCAATTCAAAATTGATATTTTTACAAGGAAATCCCTATTCTCACTCCTCAATATAAAACCACTCTACTTGACACTTTCTTAAAGAGGCATTTTTCTAAGAAGGAACAGCTACCAATTTTATTACATTCTATACCTTTGGTATCACTTGTTATGACTAATCGTATTGAAAAAAACACTAACGAAGGAGTGCTTACCATTGAAGCTAGTACTTCCCTATAAGATCCTAGCAATAACTACAGAATATATTTCTTTAAAGGTGTTACCTGAAGACTGGGATGACAGCCAAAATCCAATAAAGTCTTCACAACTTGAAGATGACCTTTATTGACAGCAATATGAAGTGGTGTCTGCCTGCGTTTGTTGCGAGCATTCAAATCAGCACTGCCTCGATGTAGCACTTCTATAACAGCACCTTCATCTCCAAAAGCTGCATGGTGAACAGCTCTATCACCATCTTTGTCCTAAACATCAGCATTAAAATCTGAATTAGTGAATATTTTAGGGAAAAAATAAAGCTTGAAGCTATTAATTCATCAAGAACCAAACTGATGGGAGAAAAGAAAATAAAATGGAGCCAATAAAATAACTACAAATTCACTTGATTAGTGATTAACTCCGAAAATAAATGAATCCTGGATCAATACTAGGGTGGGTAAAAGTAGGTTTACAATTGTGAGTATGCAAAAATGCATTACTTATATTATTTATTAATTATTATATTATTTATATTACAATTGTAAACCTACCTTTGCCTACCCATGTATATTCTATCAGACATATATTGGACCAATAGTCATATCAGAAGTAGTTCAATTCTTCATTACTCTTAATTTATGAGCCATGACAGTAAGCCAATCTTAGGAATGCTAACACAACTATATAAACTTTTCTTCCATTTAAAAATTTTACAAACACTTTTTAAGGACATAAAAGTTACACTAAAATTAGTTGGGTGATTTTAAAAAGAAGAATGCCAAACAATGTGATCTCAATTAGCTCTGAGGGGAGAAATATATCAACATGTTAACACTGTCTATCTCCAGCTGGTGAGCATACACTTTTCTGTATATTCAAGAAGAGAAAAAAAATTAAGTACCACTTTAACACATAAAAATGAAACACAAACCAGCCTAACTTCATACATCAAAAATTCCAAAACTACTTCAGAGGAAATCTAGTAGGTATGCCTCACCTTCCACAACAGGCACATTCCTAAGTAGATGAGAGGTAAACAAAGACCCAATTGCTTACTTTTTTTTCAAATGTACTAACTTTTTAAAAGAGAAAAAAAGTTACGTGAAGATTACACACTCACACAGCCCATACCAGAAAGAAGTCTCATTATACTACTAGACGCAGATGGAGAAGGGTCTTACAAGGGCATTTACTGTTTTTATTCCATACTCAAATTGTAACACCAAGTAAGCAAGCTCTAAGTTTTTCTCTAGTTGTTCCCAACCCATGATTCTGGCCACTGGTGAACTAATTTTTGCAAATCATTTGAGAGTCTATTATTTGGCATTATTTGAACTACTTTTCCATTTGAAAATCTATTACGTGGCATTATTTAAACTACTTTTCAAAGTTAACACAGATTAAGTACTGCTGTGATTAAATACATTTAAAACAAATACACAGTTCATTCAACACAGTTGCTGAACTGAAAATAGTTTCTGGTCTTTGCATTTTTTTCTCAAGCAGATATTAAAAATAAAAACTGCTCATGTAGAAGTTCACAAAGATTTGACAACTGTTCTTGAAAAGGTAGCAAACCACGACTCGAGAGTACTTCTACTTTACTAACATTCCAGCTAAACCAGGTTAGGAGTTTTTGTGACCTGTCTATTTTGAATATAAAGAAACTGGCAAATACCACATGAAAGATTTAAGATTCAATACTTATGCTTCTGAGCATCGTTGTATTCAAATATCTCAGAAAAAAATAAAGATGTTTCTTACAAAAAATTGTTTTTATACTTTTCTAGCAACCTATTTCAATAGTTCAGGATCTTAGATTTAAAATCTTACTATCCTCCAATCTGGATTGATTTTCTGTTGCAATTTTTAAGTCTACCTATTGGTACTCCTTCCATTAAAAAGAAAATCAATCCACTAACACTCACTGAATAAAAACAGTAACTATTTATGAACTGTACCATATATTTCTGGTTGTTAGAAACTGCTACAGAAACTTTTATGCAGGTGCTATCAACAATTTATGTATAAAAACTAAAGAATTTAAAACCCTTATATATGATTTCTCATATACAAGAGAATATATCTCAATATATAGCTCTGAATATATATATGAATATATATATTTCAAAAGAAAATACAAATAAAAATGTAAAGAATTTGGAAAACACACACACATATTAGGAAACAATTCAATTTATTTACAGGTTTTCCTTCTAGTTTAGAAAACTTAAGTTGTACAAAGACCTTAACTTACAGATTTTGTTGTCTTTCTTCTGAATTTATCATAAGTATTCCAAATACACCTAAAACATATAGCTCCTTATTCTGTCTCTGATACTGGCACCAAATAAGTTATAGCTGACCTTCTAAGATTACCTAAAAGGACTAGTAAAGGGGCTCAAATTAAATCTAAAGCTCATCTTGGTTCTACCTCTTGCCCTGTTCTCTTTCCTCTCAACCCTCCAAAATACTGTTCTTGTTCCAGTCTTCCCCATCTTAGCTGATAGAACCACAGGCCATAAGTTTAACAAAACCAGTATCTGTAGGTCTGCTTACCTGCTTCCTCCTTTCCCTGAGCCCCTGTATACAAGCACTAAATTCTATGGTTTTTACTTAAGTTATGCTCATATTTATTGTCTCTTCTCCTATTCTACCACTAATTCATTCAGGCCTTCATTCTCACTCACCTGACTTATTGCTGTAGCTCACCCTGCCTCCACTTTATTCTTACCCGATGTACTCTTCACACCACAGACAAAATCCTCTCCACAAAACACAAAATTTATGGTTAAAACTCTTTACCGTAACTCTACTATGTAGAGAACAAAACTTTTTTTAAAAACTTTATTTTCAATTACAGTATATACGTACTATTTCTTTGTATTAGTTTTCAGGTGTACAGCATACTGATTAGACAATCATATACTTTACATAAAGTGTTCCCCAGACATTTCGAGTACTCAACTTGCACCATACATAGTTATTACAGTATTACCAACTATACTCCCTATGCTGTACTTTACATCCCCATGACTATTTTGTAACTATCAATCTGTACTTTTCAATCCCTTTACTTTTTCCCTGAGTCCCCCAAACCCCCCTGCCTATTGCAACCATCAGTCTGTTATTTGTATCTGTGAGTCAGTTATCTATTTTGTTTATTTTGTTCGTTAGATTCCACATATAAATCATGTTATTTGTCTTCCTCTGGCTTATTTCACTTAGCATAATACCTACTAGGCCAATCCATACTATCACAAAAATAAAATTTCATTCACTTTTAGAGTTGATATTCTATTGTATATTGATACCGCCACTTTTTTACTCACTCATCTTTTGATGGGCACTTGGGTTGCTTCCATAGCTTGGCTATTGTAAATAATGCTGCAATGAACATAGCGGGGCACACATCTTTTCAAATTAATGTTTTGGGTTTCTTCAGACATATACCCAGAGGTGGAATCACTGGGTCAAAATGCAACTCCATTTTTAGTTTTTTGAGGGCCCTCCATACTGTTTTCCGTAGTGGCTGCACCAGTCTGCATTCCCACCAACAGTGCATGAGGGCTCCCTCTTCTCCACATCCTTGCCAACACTTGTTGTTTGTTGATTTATTGATAATAGCCATTCCGACACATGAGAGGTGATAGCTCATTGGGGTTTTAATTTACATTTCTCTGATGATTAATGCAACTGAGCATCGTTTTATATGTCTATTTCATCTATATATTCTCTTTGGAGAAGTGTCTATTTGGGTCCTCTGCCCATTTTTAAATTGGATTATTTAGGTTTTTTTCTGGTTTTGAGTTGTATGAGTTTCTTATAAATTTTGGATATTAACTCTTTATCAAATGTATCATTGGTGAATATGTTTTCCCATTTAGTGTGTTGTCTGTTTTGTTGATGGTTTCTTTTGCTAAGCGAAAACTTTTTAGTTTGATGTAGTCCCATTTGTTTATTTGTTCCTTTATTTCCCTTGCCCAGGGAGATATATCAGAAAAAAAAATACTACTTAGAGAAATGACAGAGATTTTACTGCCTATGTTTTCTTTAGAAATTTTGATTTTGAGTCTTACATTTATTGCTTTACTCCATCTTGAACTTACACTTTATACGGTATAAAATGATCTCGTTTCTAGATATAAGATGCATCTGTCCAATAGTCCCAACACACTTATTGAATAGACTTTCTTTACCCAATTGTGTATATATTCTTACCTCCTTTGTCAAATACTAATTAACCATATAGGCATGGATTTATTTTTGGGCTCTCCATTCAAGAACAAACTTCTTTTAAAGCCCATTTCTGTGGGCCATTGCAGACTCATCCAATGCCTTAGTTCCTTCAGCTATAAAATTCTACTTATCAACTCATTTGACCCCATATGTTCATAAGCTCTTGCAAGAGTTCAATATTTATTTATCACCTCATTGGCTTGAGGACAGGCACCCTTTAAAACAGCTCAGGCAACTCCTCCTATGAAACTCCCCATGACTCTAACAAAAATAATTTATCTTTCCTATTATTTCTCACTTATCACACTATAGTATAATTATTTGTCACCAACTTTGTCATTTTTACTGAATTATGAGCTTCTTGGAGGCTATCGTATCTTAATCATCTTTATTCCTAGGATGTACCACAGTGCCTATTAAGTGCTAAGAACCAACATGGGTGTTGAATTGAATCTTTAATATGCCTTAATAACGATCAGGTTTTTAAATAATTTTATTTATTTTGGTGCAATACAAATAACAGAAAATTTACCATGTTAACCATTTCTAAGTGTACAGTTCAGTGATATTAAGCACATTCATATTGTGTGCAATCATCATCAACATCTATCTCTGGAACTCTACCTTGCAAAACTAAAACTCTATACACATGAGATATAACTGGCCATTCTCCTATCCCCAGTCCCTGGAAACTATTATTCTACTTTCTTTTCCTGCCTGTTGACTACTCTAGATACTGCATATAAGTGAAATGATGTCTTTGTTTACTGGCTTATTTTGTTGACTGGCTTACTTCATTTAGCGTAATTCCTCAAGGTTCTCCACATTGAGCATGTGTCAGAATGGTTCATGCACATTGTGGCATGTGTCAGGATTTCCTTCCTTTTAAAGGTTGAATGATATTCTATTATATGTACATACCACATTTCATTTTGCCATTCATATATTAATGGACATGAGTTGTTTGTAACTTTTAGCTTTTTTAATGTGCTTCTGTGCTTTTATTTTTTTTAATGTTTTATTGATT